GGATGGAAGGGAGATGGGCGTGGGGGGGAAGGGAGAGTAGGGAGAAGACGAGGAGGGAGTGGGGAGGGGACGGGAAATGGGAGGGAGAGGAAGGGGTAGGAGTTGGGAGAAGAAGAATAAGGAGAGAGAAGAGAGAGAGAGAGAGAGAGAGAGAGAGAGAGAGAGAGAGAGAGAGAGAGAGAGAGAGAGAGAGAGAGAGAGAGAGAGAGAGAGAGAGAGGATGAACGATTTAAGGGAGGGGAGTGGTAAGAGAAGAGAGAGATTTTTTCTTTTTCATTTTACAACTTTCCATAATTCATTTCGTACATTTTTATAAACAAACATTCTATGACAAAATATAACACACAAGTCCGCTGCATTCGATTCACAGCAAATCAACTAACATTCAGATAATTGCAGACACTGTTATTACACGTTCATAACACTCGTTTATTTAACAAGCCTTTTTTCACTGTCCGCTGTATCTAAATTATATAACAAATCATGAGATACCAAATGAATATACGATATCATCATTAATATGCCATTCTGCTGTCCCTGATGATTTCTCTTCTCGGAAATAAAACATTTAGAACATTGTGGGGTTTCAATATAGCTTGATGTTTCGAGTTGTCAGTTACAAGTTGTAAGTTGATAGAAACAAAGATCATGAATGCTTCTACCTATAACCTGACTTACATAAATTTCTGTGAATGTCACCTTGTTTTTATCTTTGATACTTTGCCTAAAACTTAATATCAGTATGAATGAAATGAATGAATGAAACAATAATGAATGAATCATTTAAACAAGGATCACAACAAAGAGAAAGTATAGAACGATGTCTCTATATGTGTCACTGAATCTGTGACGTCAGAGTGATGAAATCAATGACGTCAGGAAATTGCCAATTGCCCAATGACATATTGTAATCATGATCATTGATTTTTTAAAATGAAAAATGATGATTATGTTGTTGACGATTTTTCGATTTTTTAATTGTTGATGGCCGATAATGGTAATGATATCGGTGATGATGATAATAGTGATGATGATAGTAATAACAATGATAATGGAAATTATGATGATAACAGAACAACAACAATAATAATGATAATAATGATAACAATGCTAATAACAGTGGTGATGATAATGATAATGATAAGGATAATGATAATAATAATGATAATAATAATAACAATAATAATTATTATTATTATATTATTACTATTTTTGTTAATATTACTACTATTATGATGATGATGATGATAACGATAATATTGATAACAAATATGATGAAAATATTGATAGTCATGATAACGATTTCTCTCCCTCGTCTCTTTCCCCTGACTCCCCCCTCCCCCCACCGCCCACCTGCAACCTCGCTTTCCCAGCTTTACACTCACCTCCCTCTCCCCCAGCCCACCCACTCCCCCAACCCACCCTCACCCCCAACCCCCACCTACATCTCCCCTCCCCTTCCCCTTTCCCCTCTACCCCCTCCCCTTTCCCCTTCTCCCTCCCCTACCCCCCTTCCCCCCCAAACTCACCCACGGGCGTCGCAGCCACAGCCAAGCACGAGAGCCCGCCCACCACCACCGTCCAGACGAGGGTGTGGCGCCGCCCGAGCTTCTCCATGAACAGCATCGTGAGGAGATCAGCCGGAAGCTCCACGAAGCCGGCGAGGGTGAAGGTGAAGAAGACGTTGGGCCCGATGTTGGCCGTGTTGCGCATGTGGGCGTCGTAGGCAATGCCCACCGTCACCCTGGGGGAGGAGGGGGGGGGGTGAGAGGTGGGTGGGTGGGGGAGTTGGGGGGTGAGTCGTTATTCTGGGGGAGGAGGAGAGGGAAGTGGGTAGGTGGGCGTCGTAGGCAATGCCCACCGTCACCCTGGGGGAGGAGGGGGGGGGTGAGAGGTGGGTGAGAAGTGGGTGGGTTGGGGGGTGAGTCGTTATTCTGGGGGAGGAGGAGGGGAGGGGATGGAGGGTGAGAGGTGCGGGGTGAGTCGCTACCCTGGGGGAGGAGGAATGGGGGGGTGGAGGGTGAGAGGTGGGTTGGCGAGGGAGTTAGGGGGTGAGTCGTTATTCTGGGGGAGAAGGGGGGGGGAGGGGGGAGAGGTGGGTGGGTGGGGGAGTTAGGGGGTGAGTCGTTATTCTGGGGGAGAAGGGGGGGGAGGGGTGAGAGGTGGGTGGGTGGGGGAGTTGGGGGGTGAGTCGTTATTCTGGGGGAGGAGGGGGTGGGAAGGGGGTGAGAGGTGGGTTTGGCGGGGGAGTTGGGGGGGAGGGTAGGCCGTCAGCGATGCCCACCGTTAGTCAGGAGGAGGAGGGGGGAGGGGGTGAGAGGTGGGTTGGGGGGGGGAGTCAGGGGGGGGGTGAGTCGTCAGCGATGCCCGCTGTCACCCTGGGGGAGGAAGGGGGAGGGGGAGGGGGTGAGAGGTGGGTTTGGGGTGAGTTGGGGGGGAGTGAGTCATTACCCTGGGGGAGGAGGGGGGTTGAAAGGTGAGTAGGAGGAATGTGTCGTCA